TTCCAAAACACTTGGAACACGAATCCACCCCGCATACAGGATGGACAGAGAACTCCCAACAGACATGATCCAAAGAGATCTTCACCCAGACACACGGTGCTCAAGTTCTACTCCAATGAAGACAAAGAAGGAATCCTGAGACAAGTACGAAGTAGAGAAAAGATCACATACAGGGGAAAACCCATCAGAATTACTGCTGACTTCTCCGAAGAGACCCTACAAGCAAGGAGAGAATGGACAAAGATCTTCCAAGTCCTGAAACAAAACAACTGTCAACCAAAAATAATCTACCCAGCAAAGATCTCATTTGTATTTGAGAACGAAATCAGATACTTCAATAGCAAAGAAAAACTAGAAGAATATGTCTACACAAAACCAGCCCTGCAAAGTCTCCTTAGAAATGCGCTAGTCCCGGACAAAAAGGAGGCAAATCACAAACAAAGTTGGCAAATAAGAAGGTCTCCAAACTAAAGGCCGCACAAACAAGACAACTACATAGGCAACAACACATACACAACACAAACACATGGCAGGGCAAAATTGCAACCTCTCAATTTTAACTCTCAACACAAATGGTCTAAATTCACCAATCAAAAGACAGAGATTAATAGAATGGATCATCAAACAAGACCCAACCATCTGTTGCCTACAAGAAACGCATCTAACCAGAAAGGATGCAAAGAAACTGAAAGTGAAGGGATGGAAAAAGATATTTCACGCTAATGGACGAGAAAAAAAAGCTGGGGTAGCTATCCTAATTTCAGACGAGATAGATTTCATTCTAACTAACATCAAAAGAGACAGGGAAGGCCATTTTATACTGGTGAAAGGAATGATCCATCAAGAAGCAATCACCATCATTAATGTTTATGCACCGAATCTTAATGCACCTAGTTACGTAAAGCAATTACTTACAGACTTAAGGGAAGACATAGACACCCGCACAATTCTTGTAGGCGATCTCAACACACCTCTAACAACAATGGACCGGTCAACGAAACAAAAACTCAACAAAGAAACAACAGAGCTCACACAAACAATAGAACAACTGGACTTAGTAGACATATATAGAACTTTTTATCCTAAGGCCACAGACTATACATTCTTCTCAGCGGTGCATGGCACCTTCTCCAGAATCGACCACATGATAGGACATAAAGCGAATCTAAACAACTTCCAAAACATTAGTATCATACCATGTACCCTCTCAGACCACCATGGGATGAAACTGGAAATCAACAACTCAAAACTCCCCAAGAAGTACACGCACTCTTGGAAATTGAACAATATGCTATTAAACGAACATTGGGTCAGAGAAGAAATCAAAGATGAGATCAAAAAATTTATGGAAACCAATGAAAACTCTGATACAACATTCCAAAACTTGTGGGACACCGCCAAAGCAGTGCTACGAGGTAGATTCATCGCAATCGGAGCGCATGTCAAGGCCCAAGAAAGACGCCAAATACAGGAACTAACCTCACACCTCCAGGATCTGGAAAAACAGCAGCAGAAGAGTCCCACGCACAATAGGAAACAAGAAATCATCAAAACAAGGGAGGAGATAAACCAAATAGAAATCAAAAAAACTATACATAAAATCAACAAATCAAAAAGTTGGTTTTTTGAGAAAATAAACAAAATAGACACTCCACTGGCCCGATTGACCAAAAAAAAACAAGAGAAAGTGAGAATTAATAGCATTAAAGATGAAAAAGGCAACATAACAACAGACACTGCAATCATTAAGAAAATAATTAGAAATTACTACAAAGAACTGTACTCCCACAAATTTGAGGACCACCAAGAAATAGAAAAGTTCTTGGACTCCCACCACTTACCAAAACTCAGTCCGGAGGCAACTGCAGAATTAAATAAACCCATAACCGAGGTAGAGATTGAAACAGTCATCAAGGATCTCCCAACGAAAAAAAGCCCAGGCCCAGACGGCTTCACTACAGAATTCTACAAAACATTCCGAACAGAACTAACCCCAATCCTCTACAAGCTCTTCAAAACAATAGAGGAGGAAGCAACCCTCCCAAACTCATTCTATGAAGCCAACATCACCTTAATCCCAAAACCGGACAGAGAACCATCAGAGAAGGAAAACTACAGACCTATTTCTCTGATGAACATTGATGCTAAAATTCTCAACAAAATCCTAGCCAATAGAATTCAAAAAATCATCAGACAGATCATTCATCCGGATCAAGTAGGATTCATCCCTGGGATGCAGGGATGGTTCAACATTCGGAAATCCATAAATGTTATAAACCATATCCAAAAACAGCAAAACAAGAACCACATAATAGTTTCAATAGATGCAGAAAAAGCTTTCGACAAAATCCAACACCTCTTCATGCTAAAAACTCTAGCCAAAGTAGGCATAGATGGGAAAATCCACAACATAATCAAAGCAATTTATGAAAAACCCAACGCCAGTATCATACTGAATGGAGAAAAGCTAGAACCCTTCCCACTGAGATCTGGAACAAGACAAGGGTGCCCGCTATCACCACTGCTATTCAACATAGTCCTAGAGGTACTTGCAGAGGCCATAAGACAAGAAAAAGAAATCAAAGGCATACGTATAGGAAACGAAGAAGTCAAGCTTTCACTATATGCAGATGACATAATCCTATACATAGAAAAACCAGGAGACTCAATACAGAAACTGCTAGAACTTATACGAGAGTTTGGCAGAGTGGCGGGGTACAAAATTAACGAACGAAAATCAACAGCCATAGTGTACGCAAATAACACCAAGATGGAAGAAGATCTAACCAACAGGATACCATTCAAAATAGCAGAGAGAAGTATGAAGTATTTGGGAATAAATCTAACCAAAAGCGTAGGAGACCTATTCGAAGAAAACTACAAACTATTTAAAAAGGAAATTGAACAAAACCTCAAAAGATGGAATAACATCCCGTGCTCCTGGATAGGCAAAATCAATATCATTAAAATGTCTATACTACCACAAGCAATATACATTTTCAATGCAATTCCAATCAAATTGCCCAAAACATTCTTCACGGAACTGGATACAATGATTCAAAAGTTCATCTGGAAGCACAAAAAACCACGAATAGCTAGAACCATCCTGAAAAATAAGAAGTCAGCAGGGGGAATCACAATCCCGGACCTCTGGACATACTATAGAGCAGTGGTTATCAAAACAGCCTGGTACTGGCACAAAGACAGAAAGGAAGATCAATGGAATAGAATAGAAGCACCAAAAGGGAACCCACACAAATACAGCCAATTAATCTTTGACAAAAAGACCAATGACAGCTCAAGCAAGTGGGAAGGCCTCTTTGGTAAATGTTGTTGGGACAACTGGCTGATAGCCTGTAGAAACAAAAAAATAGACCCACATCTATCACCATACACTAAGATCCAATCTACATGGATAAAAGACCTAAACCTACATCCAGAAACCTTCAAACTCTTGCAAGAAAATGTAGGAAATACCCTGCAAGACCTAGGAGTAGGTCCCGACTTTCTAAGAAGGACACCAAAAGCAATAGCAGTTGAGAACAGAATAAACAAATGGGACCTCATCAAACTAAGAAGCTTCTGTACAGCAAGGGAAACAATCAACAAAGTAAAAAAGCAACCCACAGAGTGGGAGAAGATCTTTGCACACGATATAGGCGATAGGGGGCTAATTTCCAGGATATATAAAGAACTTCAAAACAACCAAAAAACCAAAACAAACAAGCCACTCAAGAAATGGGCACGGGAAATGGGCAAACATTTCACAAAGGAACAAGTCCAAATGGCAAACAAACATATGAAAAAATGTTCCAGCTCCCTAGCAATAAGGGAAATCCAAATTAAAACATCGATGAGGTACCACCTAACACCAGTAAGATTGGCCCACATAAACAAGAACACCAACGACGCTTGCTGGCGAGGATGCGGGGAAAAGGGAACCCTACTCCACTGCTGGTGGAGCTGCAAATTGGTACAGCCTTTATGGAAATCAGTCTGGAGAACACTCAAACAACTCAAAATCTGCATACCATATGACCCAGCAATAGCACTCCTAGGAATATATCCAAAACACCTGTTTTACGACAAACCAACATGCATCCCTATGTTCATTGCAGCACAATCAGTAATTGCAAAAACATGGAAGCAACCGAAATGCCCATCAGCAGAAGATTGGATAAGAAAGCTTTGGTTCATCTACTCCATGGAATACTACTCAGCTATTAAAAAAAACAAAATGCAGTTCTTTGTGGCTAAATGGGTACAACTGGAAACTATAATGCTAAGGGAAATGAGCGAATCCCAAAAGATTAGATACCACATGTTTGCCTTGATTTAACCTGTAATTTTTTGTTTGGTTGTTTGTTATTTTTTTTTTTTTTTTTTGAACCTGTCATTGATACTGTCTCAACCCAGATGTTTCGAAGAAGGGAACTTGCATTATTTTTAACATATTGTTTACCCAATACTATGTCAATTAATTCCATAATGTTGTATATTGATACTGTGGCCTCGTTGGGGCTTTTAACTGACTGGATCTTTACTCTGTTAGACCTATTTTCAGACCATAGAAGGTCTCCCCAAGAGGCCACTGAACTTATCTGGACAATAAGACGCTGAACTTTATGCTAGGCATGTGTCTGCAAGCAATGAATCTCAACCGAACTTGAACTATGGTTATGCAACAAGGTGGAGGAATCCACCATGGGGGGAGGGGTATGGGAGGGGTGGGGGGAATCCCTAGCGCCTATGAAACTGTACTACACAATACAATGTAAGCAACAATAATAAAAAAAAAAAAAAAAAAAAAAAAAAAAAAAAAAAAAAAAAAAAAGATTGCTGTGTGAGGAAATCTACACGACATTCAAACCATAAAGGTAATAATAAAACATGCAGTACATACCACTTGTACATCTGAAGGGACTCTGGAAAGGAAATCAAGTAGTTCATTGTTATCAATTGCATATGGACTCCGAAGCTTTTTTGTAAATTTATTGATGCCTGAAAAATGATAGGTCAAGTATTAAACCGTGATTCTCGCAAAGGTGTGAACAAACCTGACGTTTCACTTGTGTATCGTTCCTCAGGCTTCACTGAAGAAAGCAGTACCCGCAACTTCTCCCCCTTCCTTCCCAGCAGGAAAGTCTATCCGGGAGACAAGGGGAGGTTCACTGGGAAGAAGAATTTCAAATCTGTGCTTTACTGTTTCACTTAAATGAAACATCTCTTGTGTTTTGGGATGGAGATTGGTAAAGCAGTAAATTTACTGGTTTCCTCCTTTGCTTCTTTTGGTGGTAGGAATTGGTGCTCTTAATGCAAACTAAATGTTTACACGACAGGTGGTTGCTCTTGATTTTTTTTCGAACATAACAAAGGATTTGCATTAAGTTTGAAGAGAAGCCAAGTTTTCTAAGAGAGTTTATTCAGAGTAAACTTCTGGAATCTTGATTTTGGACTGTGTCTCAACACGTAAGACCCAAAGACCTCTGGCTTTCATTTTTGTGGAATATTTTAGTAATCATGTAGCTTATTCCATTTGATGAAATGGGAAGCTCAGACACATTCTCTAAAACTACTTTTTAAAGTGAGGCCATACAGGTTACACAGCCACATGTGAGCTTTGGGCTCCAGTGTCAGAGACCCTGGGGAAACGTGGGACGTGTGTCACCTCTGGCAAGAAGACAGGGCTGCTGCAGCTCAAGGCAGGTAGGTTACCACCCACACTCTCCAGCGCAGTTCCTTCAGTCAAACAGATCGGGGAAGGGGTCAAAAACAAGCACTTGACCAGACACTGGATAGGAGTCTGTAAAACGCAAGTGCTGTTTTAACGAACTGTAGAAATTGGGCAGTTTCTCATCAGAATGGTCACTTTCACTTACCTCCTTAACAGAGCGTAACGACATAACAGGAAGGAGCACAAAGGAAATAGCATTCTCAAAACTGTGAGTAAATCCGATGTTTCAAGCACTCCAGTGTCAGTGTATTTCTGACTACATCTTGTGTGTGTGCGTGTGTATGTAAACATTTTTTCAAGTGAGGACCCATTTGGTTTTAGGTTTAGCAGTGTTACTTGAATGCATGCACAGGTGAGTGAGTGGTAACCAAAGAATTTCTTTGTCACCCAGGAAGGTACTTCCAAAAATGTTCATGGAAAATGTGTACCATAAAAAAACTAAGCATGGATTTCAGAATTTTCTGCACCAAATAAAGGTAGGTTTTAATTCCATTTCCCATGAACTCCTTGACAGTACCCTTGTGTATGTAAGTGTCATTATGTCCTAGTTTTATTAGTCAATAAATCACAAACACTAAGGAATTTTGTCAGGAGACAAAGCTATACAGAATGCTGAAACTGACCCCCGCCCCCGCATACAGTGCTCAGAAACTGGTATGCTGTATGACAGCTTTAAGAACCAGGCCCCCAAAATAAAAGACAAAATAGGAAGAAAGAAAACAGTAAGATGTGCCTTTATTGGCTTTTTGCAGGGGCATTCTTACTTGGTCCACATAAAGCAGACATTTTATTCCTAAGAAGCTTGTAAATACTGGGGACCCTTTTCCTGAATTCTAAAGGTGACCTCTCAAGCAGGCACCATGTGTAAACCACATATACATATTCCTCTACAACAAAGTATCACAGCAAAAACAAAACCCCACATTGTCCTGAACGCACCGAATGGAGTGAAGTGCCTCTTATTTTCATCACTTAATAAGCGAAATCAGAGCGGTATGTAGACACAGCTACTCTGTGATATATGAAGAGTCCGTACTGCTACATGTTTATGGTATGATGGAACCTATGGTGCCAGATAAGAAAAATGCATTTTGCAGGTAGCCCTAAATCTTGAGACTATTGTTATTTTTAACGGACCTGTCTTTTCTCATTACAGAACAGCTTCACGTCCATAAATATAGAAACTACCGACAGTGTAACTCATGCTTTAAAAACAGTTTGATTTCAGAAGCTAAGTGAGTTTAAAAAAAGAAAAGCAGCAGTGGCTTTACTTACCCCAGACAAGGACAATGTATCTCAGTGGAATGAAGTACAGGATGAGTGTGAACACACACAAGGCTACAATCGCCAGCCAGCTTAAGAATGGGACGGTCCAGTTGAAAGTACTGAATGGAAAATTAACACATCAGCAATTTCAAACACTTCATACCTTTTTCAAACAAATATTCAAATAAATGTGATGCTAACTTGAAACTGCATTTCTCTCTGGACTGGAATCCCAGTACAGTAAGCTACCAGAAGATAAAACCCAGAGCCCAAGTCAAAGGTAAGCCACTGCAGGGTCTAAATTAGCTCTTGCTCTATGTAGGGGATTCCCTGCCTGAACAAGGGTTTGTTTTTACTGCCAAAGCTAAGACTCAGCCTTGTTTTTTACCAAGTTTTCCCAGCTGAATGTCCCTGAAGTTACTGTTCCTCTTTTCATCAATTTTTGATATTTCCCATGTTGGAAACCAAACTTCCCTAATGATTATCTGTAGAATATATGTGTATATATGTGTAAATATACACACATACATGCATTCTAGAAACACTCTGAATTCGAGAATTCCTTAAAAGGCTGTTACCTACTTAGCTATGTTTCAGTTCATTGGAAATCCGGCAACGGGGCAATGCAGTTAGCCTGCTGTCACAGCTGTTCTTCCAAGAAAGGCATAGGTAGGGGAGGGTCAAACCCTAACCCTACTGCTGTCCCCGTATGCCTGTGGGAAAGGAGAGTGTGGGGCCAGCAGCATAGAACTGCGGGCTCTATGGCTCAGCTGCCAGGGATGGATACTACAGAGAGCCTGGCAGAGAGGGCTGCCTGGCTGAGTCTGACAGCTAACAAAGGACAGAAATGGGACCAGTGAACAGAAGTAGAAAGTCGGAAAAGACAGTACTATGGAGAGTGGAAGGAATTTATTCAGACAAAAGGTGTTACCAAAGTTGTTTTTTTTTTTTTTTTTTAAATCTGGATAACTAGGGAAATGGATCGTGGAAAAATGGTAATCATTTAAGGCTTTTTGTGTAGAAGTTCCGGCATGAATTTCTGGTAGATTCGAAGAGAAACTGACAGAATTACACAGAAATCAGAAACACTGGACAGCACCTCCAGGGCTAAGCAGATAAACGTAATCGCATTCATAGACATGATGTTACATTCTTGGAGACCCTCAGTGTTCAGCCACCAAAGAGGAACTATCAAAAGGTACTTCAAAAAGGCCATGAAAAAGTGGAAATTTGATAAACTTTTTTTGAAAACCATGCAGTTTTCCTAGTGCACATCTTCCATGAACTCTATGAAGACCTCACCCTATGTGAGCTCTATCCTTAGTAACGAAGAGCCAGTTAGCAAATCTTTGTTCGTAGACTACATTCTGTATGTGACTATAGCCCTCCGTTTCACCTATATAACATTGGAATAACTCATGTCAAGGAAGACTGGTTATGGTAACATGTTTATGATATTAGTCAAGGTGGTATTAGTAGAGCTAAGAAACAGTACAACGAGAAGGGCCTCCAGAACACGTTAGAAAAGCAGGAAGGTTAGTACACTGTGGAGCCGCAGTGTTTTAAATTTATCTTAATCTCCACTAATGTATGTTGTAGTCCTTTGGGGTGGGGTTTGTCCAGAGCAGTTTTGACCCTAAAAGATAACTACTGAGAGATTTTCTTCCGCAGTGTTACACAAGAAAATTGTTCCTCAGCTGTTGAGCATGGCTCACTTTTTATGTTTCACTAGGTCAATTGTTTCCGAGAACTGTTTTCTGGTTGAAGAGCCAACATTGGGTCCATCTGCTGATCCTGTTTTCAGTAACCCTTGGGGTCTGGCTTTGCTCCTTGTCTCCTCACGGCCAGAGCGAGCATCCTGTAGCTGTCACCAGGTAAGGACACATGCCTCCCTCCCTGATGCACACCTGTGCTTCCCTTGTGTCTGCCTGCTTGTGGAGAGAACAGAAGGCTGAGGGTCTGCTTGCTTTCCCGTGGCTCAGTTCAGAGCCATCCATCACACTACCCCATGTGTGAGGGCACTGGCTCTTCCCTCAGAAAACCTTCCTTCTGGGCAGCCCCACTGATGGCTCCCTGTGTTCTCCTTATTCCTGTTGGAAGGCTAAATGGCAAAGAATCCTCACCAATGTAGCTTATGTTGGAAGAAAGAAAGAAAAAAAGAGAGACCACCCTTTTCTATTTCCACACTCGACATTATGGAATCTAAATCTAGAATATGATCTTACCCCAAAAAGAGATGCAATTCAAGGAAGTTCTGGAATGATTATTTAGTAACAAGATATGGTAATTATAGAGGCTTTTCATTTTGTGCTTAAAGATTGCTTCTGAATCTGTGTTCTGGATGATGTGACCCCAGGAGACTCTTGCTTTTGAATCCAAAAGATTGTTGGGGAGAAAAGAGGACTGCTCTGAGATGCAGTCCTCAGGAGTTATCTTTTTGGGGTCAAAACTGCTCTGGACAAACCCCACCCCAAAGGACTACAACATACATTAGTGGAGATTAAGATAAATTTAAAACACTGTGACCCCACACTGTACTAACCTTCCTGCTTTTCTAATGTGTTCTGAGGGCCCTTATCATTGCATTGTTTCTTAGCTTTACTAATACCACTTGGAGCCTATGCCATCTTTATGTACCTAGCTCAAAGTGACACAAAATCCAAGGCTGGTCCACTGCCAGAAGCTAGTCAGCCAGCCCCAGGTTTCCAACCAGTACCTGTTTTTAGGCCTCCAACCACCCAGAGTTACAGTAGGGCTTCCACCTTCCAGGTATTGGTTTGCTAGCCGGGGTCAGAGCTAACTCAGGACCTGCTGGCAGATATCAGCACCCGAGGAAAGGATAACACCCAGTAGGGAAATGCCTTGAAGTTAGTGCCTCCATGGATGGGGTAGCAAGACAACGGAATAGCATCAGGAATACAAATAAAACAGGGAAGCTGTGCCAGTCTTCAAAAAGTCTCAGATTGAATGCTGTATGGGAGCAAGGGAGAGTCTGTTCTAATACAATAAAGTGGAAACTCAGCAACTCTGAAAACAGTAACACAAAGAAAATGCATTATCTCTTCTCACACGAAAGACGCTGGACAAATGCCTCACACCTTTGGTTTAAATAATTTACTCCTTTCAAATTCTGTGCGTCCAAGTTTCTAAATCTATAGGAAACTTCGAGTTATAAATAATAAATAAGGGATAGATATGGAAAATAAAGCAAATTCACGCATCTTTGGATGCATAGTATCCTTTCTCATATCACTGGTAATCAACCTAGATTGGCTAATTCTCACATAGATTCAGTAGTGTGAAGCCTTAGGGTATTTTTTTAATCATTTAAAATCAGCCTTACTGTTTTTATATTGAAACAATCATTGTAAAAGTATTTTTTTTTCATGCATTTTCCAGGTTACAAAGTATTAGCTTAGGTCACAGTTGTTCACTACATAAATTTGAAAGAATTTAGGAATGTTTTTTGCAAGGTACCATATATATATTTTTTAACAATCTAGAATAATGCAAAATATAAACTGGACTAATAATAAAGTGCAGGTCTCTTAATCACCTGAAATCCTCATTTAGCTTGGTGTTTGTTTTTTTTTTTTTTTTTCCTCTATTTATTTCATGGTATTCCATTTAAGAACAAAGTCTTTCACTGTGAAAAATGTGTTAAGAATTTGGGACGGTGTTACTTCTTCAAAGCTACAAGTATGACTTCTTTCCAACCAATATGTTCTAAATTTCAGGAAGGAAATTGTCAGAACTTTCATAAAACCTAAGGCTGGCAGAGACAAATAATGATGAAACTGAGCAACAGACCACCCAGAAGGAATGTCCCCTGCCAAAAAGAACCTGGCACTTCACCCTCTTAGACAAACATGGACACGCTGCCCCGCACAAGGCCGGGACTCTCAGTCAGCATCACTCACTTCTTGATCCTTTCGCCAAAGGAAGCCACTTCATCCAGGATGTTCTGGACGCTGACACACACCTCCTGGATGGCATAGATCTTATTGATGAATCCCTTTCTTTCACTGTCCTGAAACACAGAAGAGAAAATGCTGTATGAGTAAGAGTATTCTTTGGACTTGCGTTTTTGTGTTTGTCCTCTCTTTCAGCGTCAGCTCTGTCTCTGTAATATGCACAGGGGTCCCTGGAGCCGATGCAGAGCAGTGCAGAGTCAGGGATATGTGCTGCCGTAAACATAGTCGCAGCACAGGAGATGGTTCTGTTGCTGTTCTCGTGAACAGAAATGTGTCAGGCAGTGGTGACTGGAATGGAGGAGGAAGGGCAGAGCTGAGGAGCACCTAACCTGTACCTTGCACCACCCCAGATCCCACTACAGTTGCACTTCGCAAACCTCCAGTTCCTTGACCTCGTCACCCACAGGCCTAGGTCCAATAGTAGTTCAGCTGCAGAGATTGCCACATGCAAATAAGACCAGTGAGTCATGGGAACTGCAAAAACTGACAGTCGATGAACTCCACTAAGAACTTATCCTGGATCACACAGAGCCTGACGTCAACTCAAATATGTATTTAAAAAAGAGAAAGAGACAGATCTTGCATCCACTGGTTCACTCCCCAAACAGTCACAATGGCTGAGGCTGGTCCAGACCAGAGCCCAAAACTCATCTGTGTATCTCATATGAAGACTAGGGAGCCAAGAACTTGGGCCATTTACTGCTGCTTTCTGAAGTGTTTTAAGCAGCTTGCTTGGGGCCTGGCGCAATGGCCTATTGGCTAAATCCTCGCTTTGCATGTGCCAGGATCCCATGCGGAACAGTTTTTGTCTCGAGTGCTGCACTTCCCATCCAGCTCCCTACTTGTGACCTGTTGAGGACAGCCCAAAGCCTTGAGACCCTGCATTTGAGTGGGAGACCTGAAAGAAGCTCCTGGCTTCTGGCTTCAGATTGTCTCAGTCCCAGCCATTGTGGCTACTTGGGGAGTGAACCAATGGCAGGAAGATCTTTCTTCTCTGTGTATATCTTCCTTTCCAAAAAACAATAAGCATTATATACACGCACACACACTTAAAGATCAGGGAACAAAAGCAGCCAATATTTAAACCAGCATTCTGACATGAGATGTTACAAGCAGTGGCTTATACTGCCATACCGCAACATTGGCCCTAAAGCCCTAACTCTTAAAAAGAAGTTAATTATCAAGTAGCATATGCTATATTAGGGTTCTAAATGCATATTCATATCCCACCTCTTTGTCCTTAGCTCCTCTTCATTTTAAAATTGTGCAAAGTTGATATACTTCAGGAAACTGGTAAGATTGAGCATAGAGTACCCAGAGTATGCTATAAGGTTAGGGGAAGTGTGCATATTGTGTAAATTTAGACCTAGAGGAAGAAATAGTAGTGACCTTTCACGATGGAAAATTCTGCTTTGTAGCCTGGCATCCAAGGCCCTTGCCTAGTGTTTAGTGGAGACCATCCAGCCCTGATTCCAGGACTTCATTCCTCCATGCCAGCTTGAATATCTACAGAAATGCAGATCCAACTTCATTACTTTAGCTTCTTTTGAACATTTCTTCACTATGCCAAAACACTTGAGACCTCATGTGGCAGTCAGTGCTTGCTGAAAGCAGCCAGGAAGCTAGAATAATAATGTCATGTTGCACATTTACATACTGACTCTCATTTCAGAGGCGTCTAAGGCAGTTTCCACTGTGAACACTTGGCCAGGGCTGGCATCTTGCCACTTCAGAAACAAGGGGCGTGTGAGTGGCAGGTGTGCGTGCATCCTCCGAGGACTGGTGTACACCAGGCCCACGGATGGGAGGCCGGCTTCCCAACTTCATCTTTTGTGTGTACACCAGTTACTTAGGGCATTCATGTCAAATCTAACTGCCATGGGAAAAAAAAAATATGTACGTCATTCATCTTGCTTATGCCAAAATGCATTGTCAAGCAGTGAGGTAAAGGAGCCACATGGAGCTCTAACAGCACAGCCACTCTCGAATGTTCCCCGCTGTCTCCAAGTCACACTGACAGACATGGGTACATCACTTTCTCCTCAGTTTCAAGTAGTGAAGTACAATGCACTGGTTTCCCTCAGGCAGCAGTACACCTAAGAATACAACAATTAGCCAGTGGCTCCAGTTTCTTTCTTAGAAAACTGCAAAGTTGATTTACCCTGATATGCACAATGTTTAGTGTTCTCTCCAGCACCAGCTAAATCCATTTAATGTTTATAAAGCAAAATGCTCTTACATTTTTCGACATACAGAATGAAACTACTGAAGCAAGCTGGTTATACAATGAAAGCCCATTAAGAATAATGCCTTTCTAGCTCAAAAGGCTGTGAAAAATATTTCTTTCGCAGTAACAATAAAATATGTAAAGTAGTTAGGCATAATTTTAACAAGAAGTGTACAAAATTTAAACGTAGAATGTAAAAGTACCACATTTCTATATAGCAACACTAAATATTAAAATACTTGTTTTTCATTGCTTGTGTCGGTTTAATGCAATTTCAAGCAGCCCTAATGTTTGGAGTAGAGAAGAACTGTAAGAATGTGATAAAGTGTTTCTAAAGCATGTTTGGAGAAGTAAATACTGCCTAGAAATGCTTGCCAAAGAGGAATAATAAGATTGTGGGTATTAAAAAGAGATTGATATGTGATGAGACACTGTGATAATGAACAGAGTGCCATGTTACTGGGCAATTGTGTTAACCATTCGGAGACCATCATTTTAAATCCTTAGAGTAGTTGGTGCGATGGTCTGGGTGCTGTTAAAGATACCCACATGCCAATTCAGACTACCTACGTTCCCAGTACCAGCTCCGCTGCCGATGCTGCCTGCTAACTTGCTCCATGGGGAGCAGCTCAGATCCTAGGGTCCCAGTCACCTGCATGGGAAGCTCAGATTGTGGTCTGGCGTCCTGGCTTCGGCCTAACCTAACCCTTCTGGTTGTGGGCCTTTTACAACTTCTGTGCCCTTCAAATAAACTTAAGATAATTAAAATCCTTCCTCAGACTTAACTCTACTTGAAATAGAACAAGTCTACCTCAGCAGATGGCTTCATACGGGCTACATAAGAATTTTGTAAAAATCGAAAATGAATTTACTCGGACAAAACAGGTGAGTTACTTACTGACCTTGGGACAGGGGAGATACAAACAGTAAAAGAAATCACAAAGGAAAGAACTATTAACATGGGTGAAACAACATCAAAACATCTCATTCGAAATGCTAAGTGAAGAAAAATGCAACATGTGACATTGTGGGATGGTTATTTCCGGTATATTCAAGAAACATCTGAAAACTGCGGTTTTGTTTATAATAATAAAAATCAACATGTTGGTTTTAACTTGGTGTATATATAATTGGAAGATTTGCAAAGCCAGAAAATATTTTTTCAATGTTGAATGATACCAAAAATGCTTATAGCACTAGGCTGGACATCCACATAGTGTTAACACAGCATTTGGGTCACAAGCATCCCATGTTATAGTGCCTGGATGCAGGTTCCAAATCCACTTGGTACTCCAGCTTCCTGCTAATGCATGCTGTAGAAGCACTTGACAACTCGAGTACTATGGCCTCTGCCACCCAAATGAGAAGTGTTGAGTTCTAGGCCCACCCCTCATAATTGCCAGCATTTGGGAAGTGAACCAGCAGCAGTTAGAATTTTTTTAATTGTAAAAACATCTAAAGTATCTAATGTAATTGTTAGGAAGCCAGTGATATATATAGTATAGTCCTGTAACATTCAGATCCTTGTGCTTAATATGTTTTGCCTCTGCTCAGGAAACTCCCACATTTTCCTATTAAAGGAGAATGGGTAAAAGAAATATTAACTGCTTATTGCAAGCATGGTTTTACCGTAACTAATTTTTTTAAGATTTATATATTTTTAATTGGAAATGCAGATCAGATTTACAGAGACAAAGATTTCCCATCTGCTGGTTCACTCAAGTGGCCGCAATGGCTAGAGCTGAGCTAGTCCAAAGCCAGAAGCAAGGAGCTTCTTAAGGTTCTCCCATGCAGATGCAGGATCCCAAGGCATTGGGGCATCTTCCACTGCTTTTCCAGGTTACACACAGCGAGCTAGGTGGGAGTGGAACAGTTACTGGTGCCCACATTGGATCCTGGCACATGCAAGGTGAGAATTTAGCCATTGAGCCATAGCACCAGGCCCTAATCTTAATTTTTAAAAATTTTTGTAAGTGATCATGTGAATGACTTTCAGGTAAAAGGTTAAAATATGAAGCCACAGTAGGCGCTGTTTAGTAGTTTTCTCAAGGCTCATTCAGTCATCACTGCCACCCTACAGCATCAAGTCAGAACAGTGCCCACAAGTTCCATATCTGCAAAATACTGAATATTAATTTCATCTGTACTGAATACATTCAGGTCATCTACTGCCATTATTTCCATACCAACACAGTATAATAACTACATACATGGCGTTTACATTGTATTTGGAATATTAAGTCTTACAGAAATTACTTGCAGAAAGTACTGGAGCAAATGATTGGTTGATACAAAACTATTTTATGGAAGGAATTTGAGCGTCCACAGACACTGCAGGGACTCCTGCAGCCAGACCCCCGCAGATAGCAGACAAAGACGTGCAGCTAACTTCTCAGCAGAAGAGGACACTGAGGCCCTGAGAAACCCAACAGAGCTAGCACTGGTACTGCAACTGGCCAACCCCACAGCCTACTCCTCTGCAGTAGTTAGGAAGTCCCTTGGGACACCTGCACTCTATACGGGGATGTCTGGGTTCAGGGCCCGGCCTCGCTCCTGATTCCAGCTTCCTGCTAATTCATACCCTGAAGAGGATCAGACAACGACTCAAATACTTCAGTCTCTGCCACCCACATAAGACCCAGATTGCATTCCAGGAGCTTCAGCCTGGCCCAGTCCCAACTGTTCAAAGCATTAGGGGAGTGAACCAGTGACTAGATCTCT